TATATATATATATATATGCACACACACACACACACACACACACACACACACACACACATATATATATATATATATATATATATATATATATATATATATATATATATATGCACACACATACGTGCATACGCACATGCACGCACACATGGGACTATGCGTGAGTTTTCTACCTCTCTTGGTAGGAAACCAGAGTAAACAAGATGCCATGAACACAATAATTAAAATTGGAAAAATGTGTAAAAACCCTTGTGTCAACACTGAAGATGGTCCGCTTTATTGTGCTATCAATATCTTCAGTTTGGCTCAGATGTCATGGACACGTCAAACTGTCACACCAAAATGTGTAGCTACCACATTAAACAAATCCTTTGTGTGTACAGTCTAACAGTTCGATCTGTCATTTTATATTATAAGCCAGACTGAACTGCTGGATTTACCGTATGTCGAAAGGTCAGTTTGGTTGGTCGATTTTACGACATTTCAACACTTCTGAGCAATCAAATATCGAAAAATGTTCATTATTATTAGACTTGAGTCTATAGTTAAATATTGGTCATGTATATACTGCAATCTGTTGTTAAATATCAGTCATGTTTATAATTCAGTCTCTTGGTAAATATTGGTCGTTTAGATTTGATACTTTAGGTAAACCTCTGCAGTGTTTATAGTTGCTCCTGTTAGTAACATTGCGTTTATACTTGAAGCTGTTGGCAAACATCAGACGTGGTTATACTTAAGACTGTTGGTTAACATCAATCGTGTTTATACTTGAGGCGGTTGGTAAATATTAGACGAGTATATACTCGACTCTGTGAATAAACATGAGCCGATTTTATGCATGAATCTGTAACATTATTCGAGTTTATCCTTGCGTCTATAAGTAAATATTAGCCGTGTTTACGCTGGAGTCTGTAAGTAATTATTAGTTGATTTTATATTTGAGTCTATAAATAAACATTAATCGATTTTATACTTCAGTCTATAAAAAAAACATTGCTCTAGTTTATTCTTGAGTAAATAAATAAAGGTTAGTCGTGTTTATGCTTGAGTCTATAAGTAAACATAAGAAGGAAATATTAGTTGATTTTATACTTCACTCTATAAATAAACATTAGTCGATTTCATGCTTGAGTATATAAATAAACATTCGTCAAGTTTATGCTTAAATCTATAAACATTAGTCGAGTTTTTGCTTGAGTCTATAAGTAAAAACTTAGCTGAGTTTATGCTTGATTTTATAAGTAAAACATCAGTCGAATTTTTGTTCGAGTCTATAGGAAAATATTAGTCGGCTTCTGCAGAAGAGAAGCATACGTACCCAAACTTGGACAAAATAGGTGAACATTAATTAATATCAACTTAGTATGGAAAGCAGAATGGAAACAGCATACTCTTGTGAATGGAAGAAGAGTTTCTTGAAGACACACGCCAACAGGCATGCGATTACAACCTCCAAAGCGTTGCGAGTATAACATCTATGTTTTAGTCTGAATAGTATAATATAATAGCTGGCTTCTGGTTTTGCCGAGTACACCTGTCTACTAAGGTGCCTAACGTATCCCTGTGCATGAGTCTACACATGTACATCTGTGTTTTCTCAACACCCACAGAGTCAGCCTGGAGTTTATACTGCAACTATATTGAGCAGGCTTTAGTTACAATTTCTGGGGGAGATAGCCTAATCTGACGTTATCAACAAGTACGCTCAAACCTTCGGTTACGATGAATGGTGACTTACTGCTAGCATAACCAGAAATATTCACCAAGCTAGTTTTACTGTCAAGGTTAGGGTCAATTTCTGATATAGTTTTCGAGCACGTCCCAAGTTGAAATGATAAAAAGAACTATACTCGGTACATTAACTTTATATCCACTCAAACAAGCGCGCATAGAATAATATATAATCATGATAATTTCTCATCTAAAACATTGCAAAAGATTGCAGTAGTAAGGGATTCCTGGAAGTCCATGCCTCAAGGAGATACAAAAAATTGTTCTGCCAAGTACAGCCCACACTTTACGAAGGGCTTTATCTATTTATATATATATATATATATATATATATATATATATATATATATATATATATATATATATATACACTCTCCACTGACAAATATATATATATATATATATATATATATATATATATATATATATATATATATATATATATATATATATATATATATTGTCAGTGGAGAATGTCATGATGCCATTTCTAACCTTAGGTCCCTGGGCGGGACACGGAAAGAAATGTGTAAACGCCAGAAATCAAAGAAAATAAAAATAGTAATAATAATAATCTGTATGAATTGGGATCAAATACAAATCAAATATGGATCAAAATTCGACAGAATGGCAGGATAAAGAACAAATATGAAACGTCTATAAATCTAACATGTTTCACTATTATTAAAGCTTCATCAGAGAATGAGATATGGAGAAAAAATTCTTATATCTTTGTGTTGTTTTATTTTCATTGTTTAATTAGGCTTCACGTGGATTTGACTTGTTAAACAACTTTAACTAATTTATGGCGTTCCGAATTAAATGAGAGACGTTGCGACCTTTTCAAAATTCAAAAACTAACCGATTCCAAGTGTAACAAAAAAGTAAGTGTGTTTTAATTCTATTTTGCCTATGTTGGATTCAGAGGATAATTTATATAAGTGGATGTGTGCGTATGTCTAGTAGATATTATGTTTGCTGGTTATCTGAATTTTGATTTGGGAACGTTTTTACGTAAACAACGTTTGTTTTAGATAAATATGCGTTAGATCCGTTATAAATGAATTCGATAAAGGTTGCTGATGAAATATAGTATTTTTGACGTGTGTATATATTTGATAAAATATTTATCAATACTCCCTCGAAGTACTTTCGACATAAAGAATTAGGGTGACATTTGTAAATTCAAAATTATGACCAGTTTTCTTCTTGTGTATTACGAGCTATTTTAAAGGGTTGACCAAACGTAGATCCATTTTATGCTGTTTTTTTCTAGGAAAATCTTTTTTCAGCTCAGTCTCTGTCAGATGTAGAATGTATTTGTCTCACAACATTCTGAGAATTTGTGAAAATAAAAAAAGAAAAGATATCCCAAGATCTTGGACAGCAAGACAAGAACAATCTATCCCTATACATTAAATAAAATATTCAGTTTTAAATTACTTGAAGATTGCCGTGATCAACAGACACCTGAAGAGGGCCGGACAGTAGAAGAGTCGAAATGTTTTTTAAGTAACAACAAAGATGAGGATAGTCTGAATGTAAAAAATGTAAATAATGTAAATATTTTAAGCTATTTATCTTAGTTTAATGAATATATTAGGCTTAACATGAAAGTACTATTTGGATGTTCTCTATAAAATACGCATAACGATTTCTATGATTGGTGGGAAAATAGAATCTGCGCGAGAATCCTGAAAAAGTTTCTTATTAAATTGAATGCAACTCGATGTTATATTACATTTTGAATCCAAACATTTCTCCCTGCGGCAGAGGATTGACAAAATTTGTACACTCTGTAAAAGCACATTATGTAAAAGAATATGCAATAAACATTAATAAAAATGCCTTCTGCTCAATGTTCTTTAACATTTAAAGTTCTTACTATGAAATAAAGAAATCAGCTCCTTACTTACTTTTTAAAGGAAACTAATATCGATCACAGACTCCAAATATTCGAGTACAGTATTACAGTAATTACCGTTACTTTGATAATATATAAACGATTTATCAAAGTTTATGTTTGATGTTTTGAACATCTGAAAACTTTTCTTAATTGGTTAAGCAGCGAGTAAATTGTAAATGAAATTCATTAATTAATAACCGTCGAACCGTATCTTTATGATTCCCAACAGTTTAGTGCCCTAGAGCTAAAGGACAGTATTTAAAACAATCAATATGTTAATGTTATCATAGATTTCCCAAACATAAAATAGATCATCTTTTTTTTCTTATTTTATTATCATGCTTCTTAATTATTCAATTACTCAATGCAGATGGAAATCGATATGGCATGTGCAGATTTGATGTTTGGAAGACATGTGATTAATTTCTTGTTTTACTCAATATCTAAATAGCTATGAAATAAAATAAGGCATAGGGCAAAAGGATTTTTTCTTAAACTAATTGAAAAACATTTCAGTCCTTTAGATAGCTTAGATTTTTATAGTGTGCGAATTAATTGGTTGTTGTAAAAGAAAGATCGAGTTGTTTTTTTTATCGATTCATTTTCTACGGTTTATCAATCTTTTGCAGGTTATCTAAAGCCAGAAAATATTTTTACATTGTAAGAAATTTTAGATTTTAAGACATTCTTTTCGCATAAATGCTTTTTTGAAAAATATGAATCCCTCTCTTATTCATCCAATTATTTATGGGTTATAAAATCGGACAAACTGGGTTTTTCAACCTTAAGTTGTATGCAGTCTAAGAGAAAAATATTTCTGAATTCAAAACTGTGTGTATTCTTAAAATAACACATCGTATACAGCCATTGGTAAGATCATAAAGTTCACGATGACGCTATAATCTCGACCTTTGCCCATCATTGATTTCTTTGATATAATATTATTAACATAGTGACCACTTTCTATTATAGACAGATTTATAAGATCTCTCTCTAGCCATTACTAAATTAAAATGTAAACGATAAAACACTGGGAAAATTTAACACCAATCAATACCCTAACATGCAAGTAATAGCATTTAAATAAAGACGAGTAATAATATTCAAATAAAGCAAAAATTTATTTAGGCTAGAGTGGAATTTTGATTGATTTGTCGGTTATTTAAAGCAAAAAATATTATTAGATTGTAAGTTTTTTTTTTTTATAAAATACTGATTGCTAATTAACCCATAGCTTTGGGGAGAAGAGGTGGAGTCATAGCTTTCCCATGGGTAATTGCGCGTAAATGAATATAACGAACACAACTGGAATTGAAACTCTGCTCTCCGACCATTACCTATTATACCACCCACACCTCCACCATTGCAGCACCTGATATTCCCAAACGGTCATCCATCTAGGTACTGACTAGGCTCGACGTTGCTTACCTTCGGTGTTCAAACGAAAAGCGGAGTTTTAACGTAATGTAGCCGTAAGCCCAGAAAGATTGAAATATGTGACTTTAAATTGAATTGCTTATACTATCCTGCACAAGATCTGTAGAAAAAATTATTAACGCAAGTTTGATTATGCATTTCAATGTTTTCAGAATAACATTAATATTAACAAACCCACGATGTAAAATGTTCAGGAGATCCATACATACATATATATATATATATATATATATATATATATATATATATATATATATATATATATATACATTCAAACAAACACACACACACATATATATATATATATATATACACACACACACACACACACACACACATAATAATATATATATATATATATATATATATATATATATATATTGAGTTTCAAATTATGAGATCTAACAGAATTATTAATCAAATATTTTGATAAATAATAATGTTAGAATGTATAAAATTTAAATAATCACAATATTTCACAGAATGATAAAAACATATTCAGATAAAATTTCTAAATGGATTTTAGAATGATAAATAATCACAATATTTCACAGAATGATAAATAATCACAATATTTCACAGAATGATAAATAATCACAATATTTCACAGAATGATAAATAATCACAATATTTCACAGAATGATAAATAATCACAATATTTCACAGAAGCCGATTTACACAGCAAGCACAACATTTGACATTATTTTTCTGTGTGCTATATCCTTTCATCACGTGGACGAGCATGGCTCTCCAGAATTCCCTTTCCTTTATAGCCCTTAGTATTTCTTTCTCTTTTTTCTGTCTCTCCTAATCACTGTTCTACTAACCATTAACCCAACTTCCTTAGGTAGGTTATGCGCTGCTTTCGTCTGTTCCTCTTGCTTTCAATATGTCCTGTGAGTATCACATTTTCCAAGCCTTCTTTCCTCCTTATATACCCAGCTTTTTTTTTTCTGATGCTAAGTATAAGTGTCCTTTTTGTTTCCATTTTCTCTCAGATTTCTTCGTTGTTCACAAATTCAGACCATGGTATCCACAACATCCTTCTATAAAATAATATGAAGTTTTATTACATTGGATGAATATGAAGTATTTTATTACATAAGATGATAGTCAGGTTACAGTGCAGTTCCAAACGTCCGCAGAGATGTTGTGTGCATTTTCCACCCTTTAATTTTATTCCGATTCTTTGGTTTGCGCATTACTTTTGGATACCAATTGTTTTGGGTTAAAATTATTGAAGTGTGTTCATTTTTATAATTTTTATCAATAGGCGATGTTATTATATTGATTCTCAGAAATTTTAATATGCACATTCATTTTTTTAAACACCTATAATAATTAAACAAGTATAATTCCTTTTGAGAAACATGGATACCTAATTACTGTTGAAGGAATTCATATCGGCTTTTATTCGAGTTAAGAAAAACAGTTTTGATGCTAATAGTAACAGTTTATAAATTTATCTAAGGGGCATAGTTTAGACTAAGCTGTTTTATACCTTAATATCTAAAAATTCTTAATACCTTCAATATAATGTGTATTTGCTATAAGACATACCAGAGATTCGAATCGAATTAAAATCAATAGGTAACTTTTGTTATAGGTAGAGTTGATCTGTGCTGACACAAATATCTACTGGGATCACCCTCAGCGATACCAAATGAGGCTTTTGTATTTAGTCAGAATAGAGCATTAAAACTGCGTGGAGTATTAAAAGACTACCCATGAAATGTGTCTTCACAGCTATCAGACATCGAAAGACGTCAGTTGCTGCCTCGACATGCATATGGAAGGTTGGGCTAAATGAACTTAAGCTGTGACAATTGAATGCCATGAAGCACCCACCTGACAGCAGACAAGGAGAGTCACACCCGTTTTCGCGACAAGAAGCTCAGCGTTCGAAGAAAATACTCAAAACCACACATTTACGACGACATTACCAGACGGAGATTATTTTGGGATCGGCCAATCTATATCCGGATATATTCTTGGAAGGCTGCAACGCCGTAACACTAGAGCATAGGGAATCTGTTTTATATACTACTGTTATCACTTCCAAAACTGTCCATGCTATCTTGCTTTTCAAATAGAGTAGCCTGATTACCGCGTTGTGCTCTACTAGCTCCCTGGTCACACTTTACTACACATGGAACACAGAAATATTGATTACTAAAAGCCTTCAAATTGAAGTAAATCTCGAGCATATGGATGCGTATCTATACATGCACAATTTCATGTCCCTCTACTTATCACAAGTGGATTTAAAGCTGAAACCATTTTGAACTTCCTTTGTATTTGTTAATTTCGTTGTGGAATCCTGTCATTGAAAACTTCGGTTATATACGTTATTCTACAGGAAGTGTCGAATATACGTTGTTATACAGTATGTATCTCAATTAGGATTTTTACGGAAAGTGTTGGTTATACGTAGTTCTAAAGGAAATGTCGGATATATGTTGTCCTACAGAAAATGTCGCATTTACTTGTTCCACAAGAAGTGTTGCTATATGTTGTTCTCGGGAAGTGTTGGATAAACGTGTTCTACAGGAAATATAGGGTATACGTTATTCTACAGGAAGTGCTGAATATACGTTGTTCTACAAGAAGCGTTTTATATATGTATATATCGCATTTGTTAGATATACGACATATCTAACCAAGAAAATTAAAGTGAATATTGGAAGTATTTGTGACTGGTCGGAGGATAAAATTACTTCTACGGTGGATTTAATTTTATGTGCATTTGCAGTATGTTTTTTTAGGTAAGATATACAAGAGATCTTAATCGAATTTAATGTAATAAATAACCTTTGTAGTATGTAGAGTTGATCTGTGCTGACACCAATATATACTGGGATCGCCCTCAGTGATACCAAATACAGGTCTTTGCATTCAGAAAGCCATTAGAGCATCAAAAGTGCTTGGAGCATTAAAAGATCGACATAAAATGCGTCCTCATAGCGACCAGGACTTCAAAGGATGTCAGTGGCTACCTTGACATGCAAATGGAAGCTCGACCTAAATGAGCCTAGGATGTGAAAACGTGAGAGAACCAAATGAGAACATGAACTTATAAAAGCGCCCACCTGACAGTAGAAAAGGAGAGTGACTCTCGTTTTCACGGCAGGAATCTCAACCTTCGAAGAAAATACTCAAAACCCTTACAACGCCATTAATTGACAGAGTTCAAAAGTGAACAAACTAAAAAATTTTATTAGTCCCGTATTCTTACAAGACGTCACTAAGGTAATGCTGTGTATTATATGAAACGATATTAAAACGTTTAGTATATTATGGCATTTGGCAATTTAGATCTAGACATTCTACTATTGAATCTCGTTCCGGGTATGGTGATAAACAAAATCCGACAGCAAGGCCTCTGATCACGAGATTGGAGGTTTTGAGGAGCGTTGAACCACCTCTTAACTGCTGTTGTTCCCAGGTCCCACCTGACCCGGAGTCGTGACACTTGTTAAGGTCCCAGCTATGGGCAAATATTGAATCCCAAACAAAACATGCACTATGAATGAAAGTATACAAATACAATGTTATAATAAAATTGCCAAAAATACATTTTTACGCAGAATTGCCAAAAATACATTTTTACGCAGAATTGCCAACAATACATTTTATAGCAAAATGACCAAAAATAAATTTTATCTGTAGTTGAAGGCATTCAATTACATTCAAAATATTTAGTGGAAGCCATAAAATAAAAACTTTTAGATTTCGGTGTGGCACCATTTACCAGAGCAAAAAGAAAAGAAAGGAAAAAGAGAAAGGAAAGAAAGGAAAAGAGAACCGAGACTTAAGCGTAGATGATAAAAGAAACCACCCACGACCAGGGGCCTTGACAATGTTATTTAGATAAGTAGCAAATGGCGAAAAGGTGTCATTACCATTGCAAAAAAAATTCTAAGTGGATAAGGGAATCGACTATGTTCTGGCGACGAACTTGTGTTATCGGGGATAGATAACAGCCGCTTAATGCGGGCAAACATCTAATTAGCAAACCACAGACCGACTAGCTAAGAAAACTCCAATTGATAATGTTATTTTGATAATTGACAAAGAACAGGTGAAATACAGGGCTTTGGATAGATAAGAAAAATTAACTGTGTCGTCTGCTAAGCCGCACACGAGGCCAACCTTGAGTAACGGCTGACCGTTTTTTGACAAGACATCTATCGGTGTTAGAGTTCGGTTGTGATAACAAAACTATGTTATCAGAAATTAGCACCAGGAATGACTAGAACAATGGAACTGTTTTTTCGAGACGACGGTCGATTGTGTTTTGCTGGACGACCATCCATTCTGATAATTAGCGAAAATCTGACTGACGAAGTCCAGATGAGAATAGAGGTTATGACACTACTGGTCGCATTGTTGTGTTGGCGGCCAGAGAAGATGAGAGCTGCGATTAAGGAAAGAAAAGGAAAAGAAAAAGATAATTTTTTTTTTAGTAAGATATATTTTTTTCCTGAAACAAAGCCCCCGCTGGATCGCACACGCCCGGCTGGACATCATTGGCCGAGTGGTGATCACGTGATGCAAGGAGGGAAGCCGCCGCCGCCCACTTAGAGGATGGGTATGAGAGGTTGCTATGAAGAAGTGGGGAGAGCCGTTGACGCCCCTCTGAAGTATGGTGAGAAGGTGGGGTAAGAAGACTCCCAAAAATGGAAAGAAGTGGAAAATTCCTAACCAAAAAAATAAAAGAAGTGGGTATGTATTTAGAATTATCGAGGAACCTCCGGCCCCGACAAACCAACCCCGGCGACCATATAAGCAAAGTCGCAGCGAGCGAAAATCAGAGTTTCCCGGAGATTTTCCCGGAGAGTTCAGCAGAAAAGAGTGTTCAGTTGAAGCAGGCCTCGCAGCTGACTAAGATTCGCGCAACTTCCGAACTCGTCTTCAATCCAAGAACAATTTATTTTGAAGAGCGACTTAGATCCATACCACCAAAATAATTTTTTTCGCCTGAAGACACCCCATGAACCAATTTCTTAAAGAACAGACAACTTA